AAGGAAAGAGCCGCGGCCTCTGGGAGGGTCTCACACGGCCCACTCCGGGCGGGGTCCGTGTTCCACTTGCAAGGAGGGGAGAGGGAGATTAACCTGCCAGATCCCCCCTCCCCACCAGAAGCCCTCCCTCCCTCCCTGGGACACGCGGCCCGCTCTCAGCCTGGCCTCTGCCGCTCACCCCCATCGCAGCCTCCCGTGGCCCTCTCTCAAACTCAAAGAAGCCGCACCGCACGATCACACTAGCAATCACTCTTTGTGCGCATGCGCTGTTGGGCGCTTTTGCGCATCCTTCGGAGACTTGGGAGAAAAAAAACACCCTTGTTTGCAACGAACATTGGTGGGCACCGGATGCCACGTAATTCCACCAAAAACGCGATCAGACGCCCGCCCTTGGCCCACAGTTTCCGGAAACTAGTACCTCGTAAGTACTAGTTTTTTAAGCCGCATCTTCGGCGGGAAGCCACGGGTTCACTGCGGGAGCACTGCACTTCCCAGATGTTGTGGTGTGATCACGCCCGGAAAATCCACGGGACTCCCGTGCCTTCAGCGGGGCAAATGCTCCGTGTGAATGGGGCCATAGTAAAATAAATGCTATATCTAATAGTAAAGTGGTTGGGCCATATGTGGATGATGAAAGCAACAAAATGGAGAAACTCACAGACAAGGTAGCGTCACTACCTACTCAGAGGTGAAGTTATGTAGAGAACTACTGACTTTGTAAATAAATCAGAAACAGAGGAATAATAATAAAAAAAGAACTGAAAAGACCTGAGCAGGGAAGGGGGAAATCAGCCTGCTCATTCACCCAGAGAGCTTAGAGAGTCCTGGAAGATCAGAGAAGGAAGGGATTCCCCTGAAGTCATCCAGACCATAATCTTCACAGGCCCACAACTTGCGTTTTTAGTAATTTCTGACACAGTTCAATATTTTAATCCAACCCTTATACAGTCAAAGCCTGCAGAACCACCAGCGATCTAAAATCTAAGCACATTAAACAGTACATGTTTATAAGACAATGTTACTTTACAAGCATGGGAAAGCTTTGAAACAAAGAATATTTTGAAATGGAAAACCATACACTTGTCCAAGACTTAATCTTGTCCTGCACACCTAAGTTCAGTGGTGAAAAGTTCCATGGGCTAGCACATATTCAGACTGCTTGCCCTTGGAGGACACGGCTTATGATGGAGACTTATGATGTTCTTATAGTATTTGCTTTATTTACAAATATACCAATAGAGCAGAGGAGGCACAGAGGCATTCCTACATGACAAGTGATCCACTATCCCTCATCAGATCCTCAGAGAGAGAAAGAGATCCTGCAATCTGAGGAGCATCAGCCAACTCCAGCTGTTGCATTTTGCTTTGTTCTCCCCACACACACACCCACACACCAGAACTGCACTTCCTTTTCACACAGACATGCAACTTTCCACTTGGGAGGTTGTCATCTCCCTCAGGCTCTGAAGAGATGCTTGAACAGACCCATTAAGGTTCACTGAGGCAGGCCACCTATAGCCAAAAAGGCAACACTGATGTTCCTTTTCTCATGGAGGCACGCACGATTTAACAAGCCATAATGATTCAGGATCCTTACAATACATTCTATCTTGTGAAACCTTTCGTTTTATTCAAACGTAGTTTGTGGCAAAGATTCAGATCGTCAGTATTACTACTTCTACATCCCATAGTAAAATGACTTGTGCCCACCACAAAATCCAGCCACCCATAAACAAGTAAAGATTTCTGGTACTTGGGGGAACTCCCCAGGTATGTGGAAAATATAACTTTATAAGTAAACCAAAAGAAAAATGGAAAACAAAACGAATCTCAGCCCGATGGAGACTGAGCATTCTCCAAGGAAACACTGACAGCGGTTGACAGGCAGCTGGAATTTGCCAGCTCAACTCCCTCCAAAGTTACAGAAGCCCAGAGGGGGAGACTCGATGGGGAAGTGAACAATGGTTTATTCCACCCTCTAAGCTTATACACCCCTTATTTTATTTTATTTTATTTTTAAAGCGTAACTTTCTTCCACTGTGATATCACAGAAAGAACCATTCATTTTCAGTAAGCTTGCTCTTTAAATGGTAGTGAATGTTCTTAAATGACTATAATTTTAAAGTTAAATGATGAGGTTTTCATTTGCTTTCCAAGCAGAGAGAAAACCTTTTTCTAATAGACTCCTGCTGCCTTGACCTTGGACTATGACTTAAGAGTTCACCACATGCAATAATTTTCCTTGCCCCATGGGGCTTGCTGAGGTTTCTTTTCAGAAAAGGTTTCAGATTTGAAGGCATTGCTAGATCTAACAGTGTAACCTCTCCTACAATAAACATTGCCTTTTCAGCCGGGAATACCAATTTTTAAAAAATGCAAGAATTTCTTCTAGACTTAAATGCATATCATAACCAGAAACAGGAGTGTTCAATGAATATTTGTGTGAACATTCATTACACTTTTCTGCCAAAATAAGGAAATTACCTAGCTATAATTAGCAAACTTCACTAAAGAAATGGAGGAGGGATTGATGGTGGAGTGAGCCAAGTCCCCATTTGTGATTCTACCAGGAGGCTGAGTGCCACCCACCATCAGAAGGAACCCGGGTAAGGGGAACTGGACTTGGAGGATGTGTGCCACAGCTCAGTTCTCTCCTACCCTTTCCCCAACACCTTCAGATTCAAGCTGAAAATGAAACAAGCCGTTCCCTTCAGCCTGGCTGGCTAAGAGCTTATGCTGGCATGATGCTCTGCTCTTTACACATACACAAACCTCCCCCACCCCCTGCCAGTTTTAAGGGAGAAAGCAGCAGTCATTCCAAAGACTCCCCTAACCCTTTCTACAAGGATAAGGGGCCTCCATCACTTGCAGAAACCCGCCCCTTCCTTGTCCACCACCTACAAGGCTGTTATTTAGGTTCCCAAGTTATTTGCCCTGAATACCCCACTTTATATAAGGAGTGGCAATTGAAAGCTATCTTCGATTCTAAACCAAGCCAACCTTGCAAGGAGCTTCCCAAAGACATTTTAAAGGAATCAATTATGTGACATTTTAAAGGTTTTGCTGTGCTCTGAGAGTTCAAAATCCTCAACTAAGAGCTGTCCTCTGACAGGATTTTCCAAAAACCCTAATCATCATTCCATTCTTCTGACAACTGAAAACACAGAACTGAAACTTATCTGGTACTTCTACTTCAGACTTATCTTTTACCAATTGCTGCTAGCCTCTAGGAGGAAGGCAATGAATCGTGTGCTCATATTCCATAAGACAACCTATCAGAACCAAAACTGAAATAATCTTTGCTACTATTTCAGCACACTTAAATGATGTGTCACTCAACCACGGGACACTCTCTAAGGAATCCTATGTACCGGGCTCGTTTTAAGCAAGAGTAGTTCCAAAAAGTGCTGAGTGCTGTTTGCTGCATGTGGTAAGCGCTACGAGAAGTGCTCTGCAGTCAGCCCCTTTCCAGGCACCCACTCAACCCACCAGCACAAAATGAGCCTCCCTTCAATTCATTTATACAGAGCAACCACCACTGCCTATCCCTTACTGCTTTCACATGAGGGCAGAACATCATACCAGGACAGGCAAGCCTCTCCCTGTTTGCTAGACTCCTGCTCACTACAAACAAGGGTAACTCCAGTATATTGCTTTCCAATCTCTGAACTATGATATGTAAAAAGACACAAACTACATTTGAAAGATTTTGGCTGCATTCAAATGCCATGATTTGTGCAATAAGGTTAGTCTACCAGCATAAGTTTCAAACACAGTTTATTATTTTAAAAAAACCATTTGTCTGCTTCTTGCCTCTCCTACCTCCCAGCATCCTCCCGAATGTTCTCTCAGTGGTCAGATAGCTTTGAAAGGTGGCACTTCTCAACAAACTGTGGCTTATAAATTTGTACATCCTAACAAAGGACAGGTAATACAAACTGTGCTAGCCAACACTGAGCCAACTCCTTTTGTACATCACATCTAAACAGCCTCTGCTCAAACCATGGCTGATAATGACATCTGAGCACAAAGGTTTAAGAGAACGTAGGTGAGCACAAGAGCAGTACTCTGAGTGTTGTTGCACTCCCACATGCTGACCTTCTCCCCAGAGGGTGCCAACGGTCATAGAAGAGAAACAATCCGGGTTCATCTCAGTACCACCATCACCACCCTCATCTCTAGCTTCTTTCCAGAAGTATATTCTCCAAAGCCAGAGCGGGCCTATTAATTTGGGTCCTGTGACAGAAATGACTGGGAATTAGAAGGGTAAGGTTTCTTAATCATCTTCCCATTCATATGAATTTGGGTTCCTGCAAATTTAAAGGAACTTCATCCCCATTTGAGCAAAACATCTAAGCTCTTTCTTCTCCTAGTTCACTGAATTTTAACCTCTCCACTGTGAATCTGTTGTTCCTCAATGTTACGAAAAAGGAAGGGGATATTTGTCCCACAAAAACGTGATTTGAGATGATCTTTATGTAGCTGACCTGTAAGACCCATCTTTCTATCTTGTCTGAAAAATGGTTAGATCCAGGGCTTTTTTTGTAGAAAAAGCCCAGCAGAAACTCATTAGCATATTAGGCCACACCCCTGACAGCACAGCTCATTGGCATATTAGGCCACACCCCCATGTTACCAAACGTGTGCTCATCCAGCCACACCCACCTTTTGCTTCTTATTCTGTTTACCTTGTTTGTTGTCCAAACCCAGGAGTTTTTTGTAGCAGGAACGTTTTTGCATGTTAGGCCACACACCCCTAATGTAGCCAATCCTAATGAGTTTCTGCTGTTGGGTGTGGCCTATTATGCTAATACGTTCCTCCTGGGCGTGGCCAACTTGGAAGCCAGCCGGAACTCCGTTCCTGTGCGTTCCTGCCCAAAATAGCCCTGGTTAGATTTAATTGACAGAGTATAAAACAATACTGATCAGCTTCTCTGTAATCAAAGTACTTTGTTCTGAAACAGTTTTTTAAAACCATGTTAATTTAAAAAAAAACTCACCTCATTCCCACCAACTGCTTTGGTTAATATCACTGCTGAAGACACAGGAGGTGGCATGCAGCCTACTGTCTGCAAACTAAGAGAGAGAAAACACACAAACAAATGTAATGTCCAGTGCAATCAGCAACCATGAATAAACCACAGAGGAGAAAGAAAAAGATTACTCACTATATTCAGAAGCCATAATGTGAACATCATTTAGTGAACAATATTTAGTGACAAGATTACAGAAATCCAAGGAGTACTACCTAGATCTTCATACACTGATAACAAATACAGCTGTTACCTGAGACTTCCTACATTTATTTTGCAGCTGCCCACCAATCCCTGGTCTTGAACACTCTCGTATGCTACTCATTCACAAGAAGAGGCATATTTGTGCACTCAAAGGAATCTGCATGTCAGATTCCCTGCTCAAGTGAATGGAGAAGCCTGAATTAGAGAGCACCAGGGGAGGATGGTGGCTTACATATGAATTCCCATAACATAAGCAATTCTTAAATCCCTAGATGTCTTTTTGGTAAAAAGAATACAATTATTGCCCCTCTAACAAAACAGAATGCAGCAGTCACACGCCCAGCAGTAAACCAGTCCTGTATGTTCTTTTTCACACATATACTTAGAATGCAATCCGGAGGGGAGGGGGAGAAAGCACTCAAGAGGGCTGACTGGTGGCCACATCAGTGTATCTCTGAGATATGCCAGTGTATTCTGAAAACACACTGGTGCAGTGCTCTGGCACTGTGGTGCCAACAGGGCCAGTGTTCCCTCTAAGCTGAGTTAGTGTGAGCTAGCTCACAGTTTTTAGCCTCCGGCTCATACATTTCTGTCTTAGCTTAGGAAGGATGGCTCCAGAGCAAACGAATTTATGCAGTAGCCAAATTGCTCACTAACAACTTTAATGCCAGTAACTCAAAAAGTACTATTTTTGATCACAAGACTCCACAGCTTAGAGGCATTGAACAGGGTAGATGGCGAGGAAGCAGCCACAGTCAAGCACACCCCTGTGGATCCATCCCCCAAGAGGGGTTCCCCCTTACTACTGCAAGGGTGCACCCTGGCTCTCTCCCACAGGCATGCCCATCTGGAGCACCCACAGCAGCACCATATAGCCTGAGAATAGTGTCCCAGCTCTGCAGTCATGGCAAGGACGTCCCAAATATGAAGTGAGATCAGTTCACCACCCCATAGTTCCCTTCAGCAGGCCCCCCTTCCATATCCCAGGCCGCCCTCCCAGCCAGGGACCACAGCCACACCCAGAAAGCCCCTGCAAACTGTTTCAGGGCTAACAATCACAGCCCCCTGGGGGTGCTATTCCAAGACCCATCTCCCGAGGCCAGCCACAACAGAGCCCAGGGGTGCACCATCCAGGCAACCATTGATGTATACACCCATGTCCCTACCAGATCAGCCTGCCCCTGGAAGGAGGACCACTTTCAAGAAAGCAAACTTCACTTGCCACTTGGGAAACATCTGGTCTGGCAGGTGACCTCCATGGCCTTACCCCCTCGGTCCTGGCCCCCAAACCCCCTAGACCATCCCAAAATGCTAATGCAGAGCCTATGTGGCAAAGGATCCTACTGGTGGGTGAGGATCAGTTGCTTGCTGCACATACCCTTGACCACACTACCATTGTTGTTCTTCCTTCTGCAGGCACCCCCCAGTGACCCAACTACTTGCCACCCAGCAGCTGGTGTCTGGAACCATGAATGACAGCAGCTGGACAGGCATATCCCCCTTTTTCACACAAGCCATTGCACCACCACCCAAGCCTCAGAAGGAGACACGGTCTAGGATTGAGGTAGGCATAGGCCACACTTTAATAGGTGAAAAAACCTTGATTAACCCATTAACCATCCTGGATCCCCAGTGGGCCACCCATACTTCAGTGCTGAGCCAGGAGAAGATGGAGTCAGCGTCCATCTCCTTTGGGGAGAGGTCATGGCAGAGCATCTGCCTGGCATGCAAAAAGTACCAGATTCAATCTCTGGCATCTCCAAGTTAAACGGATCAAGGGTGTGGTTCCGTATAAGGCAGGTCTATGTGTTCATGTGCGTTTATGAGGTCAGTGGTGGGACAGCCACCCCCACAGTAGCAGCTTAAGGGGCAGACAAGGACTGGGGTGAGATGGCATGGGCAGGCCCACCCCCATCGCACTTCTCTACCAGTGCCATGGAACATCTTCACACCCTCACCCCTTCAAGACAGGCCATGAAAGTTGGGTCAGTTGTCTTCCAGACTTTAGTCATCATTGGGGACTCCCCAGGGCAAGCAGTCGTCAATGAAGTGTCACGGCAGACAGATGCCAGCTCTTGAAACGGGGGTGGAAGAAGCTGTCAGGATCTTGATGTGCCCTGACCAGGCTCCACATGGTGCAGCCGGTGTCGACCCCAGTGGGGCTGGGATTCAGAGCCCTTGCCAGGCCCACTGCACACCCATGGGCAGCCCTGTGTTCCTTTTGCTCTCCTTGTACCACCTTCCTGTGTATCACTACACTCTGCTTCAAAGTAAGTGTGCTTGAGATCGCCCTGTTATTATGTCTGTACTTGGGGCAGGAAGAGAAACCTTTTTGTGTTGCAGAGAAGAGCTCAACATAAATAAATGGATGCAAATCTGCAATAATTACAGAAGGAAATGAACAATCAAGTGCTCTTATAGACTGCTCTGTGTTAGAAGGGGGGGTTGGCAGAAGTTAACTAAAAGGAAACAGGGCAGTGGTTTAAGCAGAGAGACTGACCTTTTTTGTACAGTTTTTTCTTTGATTTTACACTTACTCATGTGGATGTTCATGCACAAGCCTCTTTTATATTCGCACTCCAGTTCCAAACAAAGTGCACAGCATAAATGTGTGTTTATCTGCGGGATTTTATTTCCCTATGGGTATGCAAAAGGATCTGTACCGCATTGGCTTTGGTGCACTTTTCTTTCAGTAACAACTCAGGTTCAAACTGCCAGATAGATTTTTAGCTTAAAAGAAATGTGACCATTTGGCTCCAGGAGCTGCTGCAGAAAGGAAAAAAGTCTCCCAAGAGTGCATGGATTCATCTTGTGCATACCTGCTCAACTCTTCTGATCACAGTCACAGTTAACGATTTAGCTTGGGGATAATTTGACGTAACCCCATATGCTAACAGAAAGGTAAATTCATCTCATTAGGGGACCAAGTTCTAATCTCTGGAGACAATTAAGCTGCTTCTAAAATAGAAGTCCATTTTAAATGCTTTCCTTAAGAATTAAGTACAACATACTACAATTACACTTGACGTCTTTCACTGATGTTGGTACCCTTGTAGCTACACTATGTTTTTCTTTAACTCTTGTTATATAGTGCCCCCCCATTTTACTGCTACCCACAGTCCTCCCAATATGCATAGTTTGATACCCAAAAACATAAGCACTGAAATGGATTGTACACACTCTTTGGTAGAAACACCTATTCAACACTCATTTTTCCTACCCCTATGTTCCTTCAAAGCCATCATAACAAATTCAATCCAGAAGGCTTGTCAACAAGAGGCATGATACATTGAATAACTCCCTGCACATAAAATTAGCTGACAAGCCTTCATACACAAGACCAAGATTTTGAAACAGCCATCTTTTACATATTCTTTTTTTCTAGCAGCATATGTCAAAGTATTAACCTACACAGAAAAATCACTCCACTTAAAAAAAAACCCTACTGAAAGCACATTACTGAAAAAGCAGCAGTAAATACTTCACCACTGAGATGTTAAAACATACCCTTTTAAAAGCCATTCATTTATAGGTGTGATAGATAGCAACTGAAGAAATAGCCATATTGCTGTTGGGAAGAATACAAGTGTGAAGATCTGGACAAAAAGATGCAATTTCACATGCATCAAAGCACTTGTCAGCTCCTGAAAAGCAAAGAGAAGAGAAAAGGTTGCAGTTGTAATAGCTGAATAATATTTTGTACTGTATAAGGTGGTATCATGAACACATGTCAAAGAAGCATGGCTTCCGAAAGCCCACTCTCCAAATCCATAAATAAACCATTCATTCCTTTAGATATTTAAAATAACCTATTGCCTGCTAATGAAGCATAAACTAAAAGTCACAGTAATAAAATACAAGCAGATTAAAAACAAACTGGACCGACAGCACCACTAGCTATAAAGTTAAACAGTACACTTAGAGCTTTATTTACTAGACAGATTTTCCCTGAGGTTAGCCTCCCCCCAATAAAAGGACTAGCTTGTAAGTGATTTGCCCTATTGTGATGTATTGTGACGTACTGACAAATATGTTTCTCTCATCTAACATATACCGCTTGCCCTAAGCGTACATCCATGGTGGCCTTCATTTTATGCACGAAGATGGCTGTTATCAAGCAACTGCCTTCTGATCTGCAAAGCAGTTTTGAGCTTACTTAACTACAAAACTACTGCAGAACATGAACTCTAGTGTCTCTGGCTACACTGATTCTCAGAAGGGAGGCAAGAAAAGACACAAAAGTATAATAAAGTATAATACAAGAGCTAACTGCTTTCAGGGAATGTCATCACTTAATCACAGAAAACTTAAAGCACATCCACACAGAAGCCACGCATACACATTAAATTATGTGCTACAACACACATACTTCCAATAATGACATTCTCATACATACTTCCTTCTCCCATCTGTTCCTGCCTAGGAATTAAGATCACAGGGAGAGGCCCACCCAACTGCCCTTTCAATCAAAGAAGCTCATTTAGTGGGTACATGAGAAAGGATCTTTTCAGTGGCAGCCCCACAATTATGGGAAAACCTCCTCAGGAAGGGGCGCCTGGCCCCCTTCACTTTCGATCTTTAGAAGGCAGCTGAAAACGGTTTTATTTAGGATTGCGTTGGTCAGACTTACTAGTAATCATGAGTTGTGATTTCAATTTTTGATTTTTATGTTTTTAAATGTATCTTATGTGTTTCATCTCTTGTTGTAAGCCACCTTGAGCTCCATAATAATGCTACAGAAGGCCAGCCTTGTGGCCTGGTCACCCTGTGCCAAAGCCAAATCATCAGTCATCCATGGAACCACTGCACTGACCTGAACTGAATGGTGAGGACCAGCAATCCTGAAACAATGCATGAGATCATCACCACTAAAGTCCTCGGGTGATGTTTCTTTCTAATGGCTAAGTTTCATTTGAATCTATGAGACTTTTACTAGGTAAATGTATTTTAAAATGCACTTTGTCCAGAACTATGGAACTAAACACTTCAAATATTCTAAAAAGATTGACAAGACACCAACATTTACAGCAGCCCTCTTTTGGTGTACCAGTTCTAACTCACAATCCCAAATCCTCTCGGAAAAGGGTGTACACATATCTAGAAATCACACCCACACCACAGAGTCATAAACACTGATTGGCTATTCCTGATGCTATGGTGTGATTTCATTTTGTCCTTTCATATTGCAACCTGATGTTTCCTTCTTTGTTCAGATACTGTCCAAAAACAAACCGTACTTCTGTTAAAAGTGAGAGTGAAAATTTAAATCCCATTAGCAGTACCTCAGTTTTCAGCGAGAGCCCACTGTTAAAGAAGATAGTTGAAACAGCTATGTACGTAATGGAGATTTCTGGCTTCAGTGGTCCTAAAAATACACACACAAAAAACCCAAGTATTAATGCTGCTAAGCCACATACCCCAGATTTATTTTCCATGCAAGAGCCCCTAAGTCTGTATCCACCCCCTCCATATATATATCTCCATCCAATATAGGGCTATAAAAAGTTCACAGCTAAAAGCGGGAAACCCAAATTGTCCATGTAGTCCAGCTCTATCAGAGAAGATATGATACATTTCAGGTCAGTATGAAAAAGTCAAAGAAACAATTGTGTACGCCAAACAAAAGAAACAAACAGAAAGGTACCAAGATTCAAGATATTACAAAGCACTATCCAGTTATTTAAAAATCTAATAAGTTTCATGAAATAAAGAATAAAACCAAAGACCTTCTCTAAAAGTGATAACTCTAAAAGCTATAACCTTTGAAAAGGAATTATCTCTTCTTAATTACTATACTTTATATGGCATGCCACCCTTATGTATATTTGTAGTAGGAAACTAGGGCTTATATCTAGACAATCCATTCAAAACATGCAGTGATCTATTTGAATATTCGCAACAGAATCCTACAAGTCCAGATATAAGTAAAAAGGCTAGGCTCCATTCCCACATAATAAATCGGTGCAGGTAAGCAGCCATGATTCAGGGGTGGCAAAATATCCATGCTACTGATTTCCTCTTCCACTTCAAAAGAAGGGCTGGGCAAAGTGCATTCCCTCCAGATCACAAAAAGGAAGGAAGTATAAGCTGGAAGAACAGGAGATAGCACCAGGAAGGACTCCACTCTTTGATTTAAAATTTGTCTGTTTCAGCTCCTATATTTTGTTTGACTAGTGTGCTTTTTTTCTCTCTTCTTTTTTGCTGTTAAGAGACAATTTTGGTCCCTCTGGGGAGAAAGCATAACACAAATATTTAAAATAAATAAATGGAGGAGCTAACAGGTGGCGATACAGAACAGGCACAGGATGGATGTCATATCACTTGTGTGATGTCACAGGCACTCTCCAATAGGCATGCATTATATTCTTGAACATCATTCCAAGCAGCACTTTAAACTGCAATAGCTCTTAACCAAGAAAATAACTACTTTCTCAGGAGTTGTACACATTTTGAATGAGAAAACCCTGAAACACATCTGAGGGGGAGATGCCTACTTGCCACACGTGATTCCAACTGCTCATCTGTTGTCCTATTAAACTGACTGTCTAGAACGACCCTAGCACAGAAAAGTCCACTCTCTTTTTACCTCTATATTGTGCAGAAAGTACAGTCAAATACTAATATCCTTCTCCCCACCCCCCACTACCACATTAATATATCTGGAAGAGCTGATTTCTGTGGAGTTGGTACCTAGTTAGTTTTAATGCATTTCCAAGCTTTGTATTAGCAGTGGTAGCCCTGAACCAGGGAATACTACAAACAAGAAAAAGAAAAGTGTTACTACCACAATTTTCACTGTGCAATTCTGTGCTACCTATGCTGCTTCCATAGGTATATGTGGACTAGAAGCAACTGCTCAGAGAACTGCATTACTAAAATATGTATACTGCAGATATATGTATTACCGTGTGCTTATTCCAGACCCCTATACTAAAATGTGTATACTGCAGATATGTGTATTACCGTGTGCTTATTCCAGACCCCAAAACACTCCATCTTAGAAGCATCCTTACAGAACACTCTCTTGGGCTTTATCAAAATGAAAAAGAATAGCAACGTTCATTCCCAGTGCTAAGCAAAGAAATCCTCAAATCTCAACAAATTTACATATGGACATGTAAGCAATCATCTTCCCCCACCCCCAACCTCAAAGGAGGTGTCAAAACTATGTTTACTGTAAAAGGGATTACATACAAACTAATCAAGTAGAAGAGGGAAAATAAAGTTGTGGACACCAAAAGGTGCACACGTGTAGTTCTGCTTCCAAGTTTTGCCTTCCCAAGTTCAAGTTCACTTTATTTTGATAGAAACATAGTATCTTCTAAGAACCAGCGTTTCTGGATAATGCTATTAATGCTATTTAGTCAGGTTTTTTGTCCCATTCTAAACTAAAAGCAATAGACAACAAACTTTAGATGTGAGCATTAAAGAGTTAAGCAAATATCCTCATATCCAACTCCAACTTTGCCCCAACCATAAGTAATTGGCCTAGTATAAAGGGAAATGAGAAAAATATGTCACCTTACTTACAGCTAGGCATAAGGAGAGGTGGTGTTCTCTAATCCCCACAATAAAACGACAATGATTCAGAGATTTGTAAACAATTGCTGTTCTCCAGCCCTTTAGCAGCTGCTAGTCTGACTATGCCACTTTTCAAGGTCAACTATCCAAGTGGCTACTGAAAGGCCCTCAAGCTTATACGTGATCGAAGGCCACTATATATAATAGCCAATGGAAGAAAGAGAAGAAAAAAACTCATAAACTTATGTTATTACTCTTGGCAGCACATTGTAGTTTCTCTGAATTGCTAATTTCCTCGAAATAAAAGTTCTTCTATCACTCTAGTTTTAGAATGATGCAGGATCCCTGTCCCTTGCTCTGCATATATTCTGTATGAACCACAGTGCTTCACTGTTTGCTTAAGAGTAAAGATAATAAAATCTCCCAGATTACATTCATATCAGTGACTAAGAAAGCACATATGCTTTAAAAGATATTTTAGGTAAACACCACATGGCATTATCAGCCCTTCCTACAGAGCCAAGTAAAAGCTTTTATCAGAATGCTACATGAGATAAGAAACACTCTCCCAAAGGATATCTCAGAAATCAGCCATTCAATTAGAAGCTACATGGAGCACAAAAAGCTATTGATGGGAGGTGGCTGAACATACTAGGCCTAACAAGTAAAGCGGTCCTAGTCAAGGATCTATTCAGCCTGCAACAATTTAAGAGGCTACCTGATGGCAAAGCCATTCTGTTTTGGTGGAACACTTTTCAAAAACAGGCCAGCACCAGTCCTATGCACATCTATCCAGAAGAAAGTCCCACTGAGCTGATACGCTAGTTTCAGGATGCCTATACCAATTCAAAGGATTTAGCATTTCTTTCTCTCCATGTTTGAGGACATGTTCCAGATCATACTTTCTATTTATGTTCTACTATTATATTTTGACAATTGAAGGAAGAGGAGGAGGAGATTGGATTTATACCCCACCCTTCACTTGGAGCCTCAGAGCAGCTTACAACCTCCTTTCCCTTCTCCTTTCCACAACAGACCCCCTGTGAGGTAGGTGGGGCTGAGAGAGCTCTTTCGAGGACTGCTCGTGAGAGAACAGCTGCGAGAACTTGTGACTGACCCAAGGTCACAGCAGCAGCTGCAACCCACACAACAAGGAATATTATTGATACTGTGTGTGTTACCTGCAATCATTTTGAGCGGTATATAAAGGAAGCTAAAGTAACAAAGTCAGTCCTTTTTAAAAAATCCACATAAGGGGGGGACACTAATGCTACTGCTCTACAGGCTTGTTCACACACTGAGGGAAATGTATATACATAATTCATGCACTCCAAGCAGTTCTCTCCAGAAGAGAAGAGGTAATTATCCCATCTTAAACACCACTAATTTTCCCGGGTGAAATCGATACATCATCGGGGGTGTAAGGAAGTCACACATTACTGCACTGCCAGTTAATAGGGTATTTGTTTAAGTTCCATTTCTGATCAGTCCTGAAGTTGAGAATCTGCTTCCAGGAATAACAGCATATTATGCCAAGCGGGAAGTTATATAGAGAGTTATTAACGAGAAGCAGATATTTTCCAGTTCGAGAACCGGCTTTTCATACTCTTTATTTCAGATCAATAGGGGAACCAAAGCCTGCACCAGACTTCTCAACTTTCACATTTCTTCTAAAAACAACCACACAAGCGATTGTCACAAGAGGAAATATTGTCCTCTGTTGGTCCCATTTTGGACCGTGCAATTTGGACCGTCCAGTAAGTTTGCGGAAGGCAAACGCTGTTCTCCTTCCATTCTGGCCCCCACATCTGCCGAACCTGCCCGCCCTTTAGGACGACGACTACTAGCACACGGAAGTTGTGTGCGTCGCGCTCGCTGGCTCTGTGCAACGTGTCAATGCGCAACACGCAGTTCGGCAGTTTCGGAGCACCGGGAAACGCCGGCCAGGAAGTTGAACCTGAGGCCGGTTGCCTGGAGCGGGCAAAGGGACTGGAGAAAGCGGCTCCGGCTGTAGAGGAACCCTAAAACTGCTTGAAAAGCAGCTTCTCTTCCTTTGCAGCGAAGCTGTGGAGGGACACGGTGATGATGATGATGCATCCTCGGACTCCACGCTCCATGCCCCCAAAGCCCTCACTCGCCCGCCCATGGTCCCTCTTTTGTTTGCAAACAAGCGAGCTGAAGCACGCGAGAGGAGCCCGGGGAGAGCACGCGGGTTCGGGACCCGGCATGCCTTCCCCCAGTCCCTGCCCGTCGCCAGGCGACGCCCCAGAGCGGACTTACCCCCTTTCACCCCAAAGGCCGGCTCCAGCTTGGCCACCGTGATGACCAGGACGATCCCCAAAATGAACCATTCCTTCCGCAGCCTCTCCAGCATGCCCATGGCGCGCCCCACCGACCGCCACGCCGGCGAGAAAGACGAGACGGGGGCTTCTCCGAGACTTCCCGCAAGCCTCGCCTGCGGACGGGCTCGGCAGCGGCAGCAGCGCTCGTGGGAAGCCGCTCCCGCCGCCGCGGCTGGGAGTAGGGATCGTATCCAGTGGCAGGAACCGTCTCACTGAAAGCCGCCATCACTACCACGCGCCTGCTAATAGACTCGCACCAGCTCTTCTCTGAAGCGCAGAAGCCAACCGGTTGGGGTGGCGATGGGACGGACTGGAAGAGAAAGAGCGCGCTGCGCACACCCTAAAACGGCGAGAACCAGGGTCGGCGCGATGCCATTCTCCAAATAATAGCCATAACGCTTTCCTGAGCCATGCACATTCTAAGGAGCAGCTGCAAACGTGCCAGGCGCTCTTGGGAAATGAATCCGCGGATGTTTTCCAAGCGCTAGTCCGGCCCCACAGCTCAACAACGCCTTTTGGCCCTTGCAAAGCCCCCAATGGCTGGACGAGAGGACAGAAAACGAAGTCCTGCGTATCAACTGCAAAGGAAAACGCTAGCAACGTGCCCCGCAGAGAAGCGGGGCTGCCCGCTGTTTCGAGACATTACGGCCCTTCTCTGACGCGCGGAGTTTGACGTGAATGAGGGGCGGGGTGTGCGTTCAGTTCCTGGTGTGGGACACGTTTCCAGGGTCTTGGGCTGGTGGAAAGGCGGGAGCAGAGAGGGCTGGCTGGGGAGGCGCTGGTAGCCTCCTCGATCTCGCAGGGACGATCCTGTGCCGCCTGGCTTGACTTGGACTGCTCAACCGCCCGGGGAGGGGGGATAAGGAGTGTTGCCAAGCACGGCATTGCTCCCATTCCTATTAAATGGCAAGATGACAGTGGCAAGAAAGTTCTCTAACACCAGTCAGGGCTTGTTAAAGCAACTAGAGGCAACAGTTGCTTGCTACAGATCTCTCCTCACTCCTTTCCTCCTCTGTTTTTTTAAACAAATATAACTTGTAATGCAGTCTTTTTAAAGGGTTCCAGAAGAGATTCGGGAAATTACAGCCCAGTCAGTCTGAGGTCAATACCGGCTAAATTGGTGGAAACTATGAAGAAGAGGAGGAGGAGGAGGAGGAGATTGGATTTATACCCCGCCCTTCACTTGGAGTCTCAGAGCGGCTTACAAACTCCTTTCCCTTCCCCTCCCCACAACAGACACCCTGTGAGGTGGGTGGGGCTGAGAGAACTCTG